CTCTCTGGAGGATGAGGCCTTGCCAGGTCCTACTGTGGTCCTCAGGCACAGAACTGAGGTGAGAGGAGCCTTCCACTCTCTTTCTGGAGCAGCAACATATTTGTCCCTACACAGACCCATGCTTCAATACTGCTGTCTCTTGAGCCTCTTGACTTTTCAGCCTTGCCGTGGTTTCCTGACAGTTCTGGCAGCTTTCAGCCGTCCCCAGGTTCTCTAGGGTCATTCTGCTCTGAATCCACTCGGTGTCTCTGGCCTGATTTTCCTTTGTTTGTAGGACATCATTCCTAGGATGCCACCTCTTTCCCCATCCTCAAGGTCTTGTTTTCAGACAGAGTATCCAAAGGGGTGCTCAAGTCCCTGAGTGGGTTAGGGCTTTTAAGTCCACGTGGAGTGAGGAAACTGGGTCAGATGCCAAGGATGTGCTCGACTTTTGAGCTGGTGCAAGTCAACACACTCAGGGACACGTGTCACATGCTCCCAGTGAAGCCCAGTGCCCTGGCTGGGTTGTCCAGCTGCCAGGGACTAACCCAGGCCAGAGTGGTGACAGTGTCAGCAGTTACTTTGCCGTGCCAAGGCAGAGCTGTGTTATGCCACATACGCCAGTACCAAAGACCATCCTTCTGGTGCTGCAGCACTAAGAGGTCCTGTATCCCCTGTGCAGTAGTTCAATACTCTGAATTCTTTGAGTGGTTCTGTCTCAGCAAGTCCTGCTCTGACCTATGTCCTTGGGGTACCTCCACAGCCTTCCTGTGTAGGACAACATGCCCTGTCTGCATGCTCTGCTGAGAGCAGAGCTTGGGCACTTCTCTATGTTCTTCACAGTACCATGGTCTCCCTCCATGCCCCTTTCTTCTCTATCCAGCCCTCCTCCCTTCCAGTTCTGTTGAGCTCTTGCCAGCCATCTGGTGACATGGGTGGGGAGGAGGGATTAGGATTAGCAGAGATGTGCATCACTGGATGCCCTTTGCTTCTTCCCCTTGTTCAGAGGTCAGTGCAAGGTGAGTTCATCTTCTCTGCTCCCCGGGAGTTGTTTGCAGTCACTTGCACCTGCCACAGGTCACCTTGCCTGAGTACACAGACCTTGGGGCTGCAGCTTTTCCAGGAGTGTTGCCACAAAACAAGTGTGAGCAACTACTACCATCACTACTGGGATGGAAGGTTAAACTTTCTCAGGAATCAAGCCTTTCTTCGAGGCACCCAAACATGTGACTCTGGTTTGCAAAATCTGTCCTCTCTTTCTTTCTGTCCTTCCATTCTGCATCACTCCTCTTTCATGTCTCTGTATATGACTGTTTTGATTGAAGAGGTGGGGGCAGCTGTGATATTAGGAGCGTTTTACTAGCCATCAGAGTCGTATTGCTATGGCTGTTTAGTCATCTGGTTTGCATTGATTTCAAGAGTGTACTGAGTGCCCCAGCAGTTCTTGTTTTAGCAATAGGAGAATGGGGATTAAAGTCCCTCTGGTAGTGCTTCCCTGAGCCACATGCACTCTGGAGGATATGGTACTGGTAGTGTCCATGCTGTTGTGTCACTCATTGCTGCCTCAACCTGCTCTGGAAGCTAAGGATCCTTGTAAGAGCTGACCCTACCAATATGCCCAGCGTCCCCTGAAATCACTGGAAGGACACTCAGGGTCCAGGTATGAGCCTTGTCTGTGTACAGAGGGGAGCTGAGGTTGGGCCAACCCGTGTAAGAAGGATGTGGCATAAAGAGTCTCTGTGCCCCAGCATATGGCAAAGGTTCCCCTGAAGAATCTAGTGTGTCTTTGGGTAGCTTGAGGAGCCTCCACACGTGTATGTGCCTTTTGTGTGTGTGAGGGAGTCCATGTAGCATTTTCTACTTTTCACCCTCTTGATTAGTGTACGGACAGTGGTGGGAAGTGAATCGCCCACATAGCAATGCATGGGACATCCACTTTCACAGTACACTTCCCAACAAACTTGCACCTGCCTCATGTAGTCAAAATTCCAAGCAGAATTAATGAGAGCAGCACAGCTTGTTGGGGAGAGGAGCTGTGGTTTAGCTTAAGCTTGTCAGCCTGGGTTGAGATTTCACCTTCTGCAGCCCTGTGTCTGGCTTGGAGGGGAATTTGTGGGAGGCAGTTAATTGATGCATCTTTGGACCAGACATGCTGGTCCATGTTCCTGCTGTGCCTTTGGCCCAGATGTACATGTTGCAACAAGTGAAATGCAGTAGGGAACATGGGTAGGTAAGTCCATCACAACCAACTCTTTCGCCATCATCCCTCTGCTGCCTCTGCCCCACAGGAGTCACATTTCCCTGTCCAAGAGCCCAAAGGAGGTAGATCTTCATCCTCTTTCCTCTTGTCACCTCTTAGTCTCAGTCGCTTGTCCTCTGTTTTCATCTTACTCTTTCCTCTATATCTGTGTCTTTCTCCTTTTCCTATCCAGTCATCTGTCACTGTTTCTTTCCCTCTCACCTCACTTCTCTTGTTGACTGTCTTATTATCTTGACAGACCGTTCTTGCTTCCAGTGGTGGATTGTACTGCCTCGGCGGAGGCTGTGATGGCATTGTAAATATCAGCTGCATGTGCTTGCAGTGGGCCCCTTTTTCCTTTTTGCTCCCCATGGTTTTGCTGATGTGCCTACGGCTGGTGTTTGCATGCGTTCTGCATGTTGTTGACACACACACCAAACCCATCTCTTCTCACCCACACATAAATCTCCCTTGCTGAGAGGGATATGGAGTGAGATGCCCCTCCACGCACACCGGTTTTTAGAGGAAATCTGTCTCACCCTTGGATGTGCCAAGCTGTTGGAACAGTTTGGCCACCTCCAGGCAATGAAACACAAGGATAACTGAGCTAAACAGGATGGAGCATCTAGCAAAGGTGTCCTCTTACTGCTGAAGGCTGCTGACCTTCTTTCCTCTAACCATCTTCTAGTTTGTGCAAGGCCTAACAGGATTTGTCTGTGCAGATTTTTACACTGTTGACCAGAGAAATTGCAAAGGTTTAACTCTTTTGCCTTGATTTCGCCTTGGAAGATGGGCTATGTCCCCGTGGCCAGTGTTGCACAGGTCCCCAAGTCTCATCCAGCTAGACTCATGGCCTAATCCACTTGTGATGCTGTAACTTGGGCAGAGAGGGGCCCCATGCTGATGTTTGAAACCACCATGGGACAACGCAGGTAATGAGCACTGTGGGGTGCAGCAACCCAGGGGTGTCACCGCTACCCTGGTTGCCTCAGAGGAGAGTCCAACTTTTGGGCTGCAAAGATGGGAAAAGCTGGCTGACAGGGCAGCTCCTGGTGGGTAGTGATTACCTTGAGCTGGGCCTGATTCCAACCGTGCTGGGGTAGGCAGAAATGCTCTTGATCAGCTCCAGTCTTCAGATCATAATGGATTGCTCTGAGGGCCTCCTGCACGCTGCTTCTGCTGAACAGAAACAAGGAGCTGCTGGATACCAAGGGATGCAGGCTGCATACCTTGAGCATGTCCCTGCTGGGCTGGGTGGCTGTGACTATTCCCTATTACCTGATGCCAGTCCAGGTCTCCACTCCAGGCAGAACTTCCACAGGTCTCTTGGTGTGTTTTTGTGACCAAGGATTGCTCTGATCAAGCCGTGTGGGGAAAGTGACATGGTGAGGTTGATACAGATGTTCCTGACTGCCATTTTTGATGGGAAACTCTTGTATTATGGAAAAGAGAAAATCAAAATAAGGAGGCGTGGTAGGAGGACATGGTGTTTCCTAGTGTGGTTCTGGGAACTTAGAAATGTTAAACTGAGAAGTTTGAGCTGGTAGAGGGAATGATTAAGGTTGTGGTTCAAATGCCCTGAAATCACTGGAAACTGGTGTGTTGGATGATGGATTATTGTGGTTCAGGTAGGCAGCGCTGAAGTCTGGGGAGGCTGGAGATGGCAGCCGGAGCGGCAGCTGCTCTCCTGGGCTGTATCATAGGAGTGTGTCAGGAAAAGCTTGTGGAAGGCAACTTTTTGAGGGAGCTCTGTGGAAGAGCAGATCTGGGGGGAGGAGGGATGGGGAGCAGACATACTGGGCCTGTGCAGCACCAGGCAGCCATGGGTTGGAAAGGATGACAGCGATTTTCCCAAGATGCCTTCCCTTTGTTCTGGCACATAGTCTGGAAATGACAAAGCTTGAGAACACTTTCTGCAGCTTCTCTGAGCACCCAGACACCCTGGCCCAGTTCTGCCCTTCTGATATATGAGCATGTGTTGAACTCAGGGTGGCTGGAAGGAAATCAGAGAAGTTTGCTTACAGCTTCTAGTAGGAAAAGCTGAGACTTAAGGACCGTGCTGTATTGGACTAATCAACCCATCAAGTAAGTGAGCCTGCACACTGTCTCTCACACACAAATGCTCCAGATGCTCCCAGCTGCTACACTTCTCCACTGACAAAACTGTCACTCTGAGCCCAGGGCCTGCTGTCTGTCCACGCTTCTACCAACTACCTGTTCTTCTGTGAACCAGGGACTCCTTGGCCCTGGCACAATACCTGGACTGGAGGGGGCTGTTCACCACCATCAAGGAAGGCACCTTCAGCCACCTCCACAGAGGAGGCATCAGTGATGCTGGGGTAGCAGTGAGCAGACGTTCCCACGCAGAGTGTCCCCATTCTGTTCTCCTTTTGTCCCATGAAATCCCTGCTAGAATGTGTACAGGGTGGAACAATCCTCAAAGCAACGTTTTTGTGTTTACAAAGCTATTGTTATCCCTTTCTCTCCCTGTTCTAGAACTAACGACAGTAGAAGGCCCTGAAACTCACAGCTGGGGTAGGAAAGTCCAAAATGGTTCCTAGTGCACAAGAGTCAGGAAGGACCCTAATCTTTGGGTGGCCCTTTTTGGCATGCGGTGAACTGCACAGCTCTTCCTAACCTGCATTGCATCATGTTTTTCTCCCTGAAATGTCCTATTCTCCTAACTAATGGGATATCTCTAACACATATAAATAGCTGGCCCCTATGCAGTCTAAGGAGGGCTGAAATGTGAGACAGCAGGTCTGGGGAGATGAACTTATGTGGAGGCTGCAGGGAAAATGCCAGCACATCACCATCATTGTTCGGTCCTCCATACAGGCGAGGGTCTTGGGGAGCATAAGTTGTTCCTGGAGGAGGGATCTTGTTGCCCTTCTGTCCCCAGGGCCTGCTCCCACCCTTATCTGCCTGGAGGCATCAGCGCCCACTGCCCTCCAAGTGTTATGGTCTGCCTGCAGGACCCTGATGACAACTCCCGTGTCTCCATCACTTTCTTCCGGCTTTTCCGGGTGATGCGGTTGGTGAAGCTGCTGAGCCGGGGAGAAGGTGTCAGGACCCTCCTGTGGACCTTCATCAAGTCATTCCAGGTGTGTACAGGGCAGTCCTCTCCTCTCAGACATGCACATGCTATGGGCTGGCAGCAGTTTTTGGTTCTAAGGCTAATTGGCCTCTTGATCTCTCTAGACAGACAGAGGAGGAAAGCTCCTTTGGTCAAAAGGCTGACTTCAAATTGGAGTAGGGCTTGTGCACCATGTGCACCACCATTGTCTGCATGATTGGGAATGTCTGGATGGGTTTCCCCTGGCTGCTTTTGGAGCATGAGACATCTCTGGTTGTCTCCTAATGACTGATCAAATAGGAAATGCCCTGAACCCAGCAAGGCTGGGGCATTGCATCAAGCGGGCAAATTAGGGACACCCTGCAGCGTTTTGGCACACCAGTGCCTGAGTCCTGACAGCTCCCTCAGCCCCAAGCATTTCCCAAGCCTGCTCAACCTTCATCCCAGCTGCACAACTCAGTGTTCCCTTGGGGTTTGGCATCAACCTTTCGTACATGAGAACCAGAGAATGGGGCTGGTTAGAGGAACAGGCAGAAAGTAAACTTCAATCCCTCTTCCTATGTGCCTGCCCCAAGCAGCACCTCCAGACCCAATATGATGTCCTCAGATTGCTTTGATATGGGACATTTTTTTCACATAACACGTGGTCTTTTTGTCACAGGCTTTGCCCTATGTTGCCCTGTTGATTGTGATGCTGTTCTTCATCTATGCTGTGATTGGAATGCAGGTAAGGAGAGGGGCAGGGCTGAGATCTAGTTTTTACAGCCACACTGAGCTTGGTAGCATCCATAGGGGTGGATGGGGGGAGGAGGGGGAGAGGGAGACTGAGAAACCAACTACTCTACCAGATACTCCCTGGGACTTTGCTGTCATGAGGACAGGGAATACCTGGTGAAGGGTGCTGCAGACCTGACAGTGTGATTTTCAGATGTTTGGGAAGATTGCCATGGTGGATGGTACCCAAATCAACCGGAACAACAACTTTCAAACCTTCCCACAAGCTGTGTTACTGCTATTCAGGTTGGTCTTTTCTTGTCAAGCAGATAACCCTGGAAGAGTGCTAGTCTCAAACTCCC